GGCCAGCATGACTCTCAAGTCTGTCATGCACAGTATCCCAAAGGAGCCCCAACTTTCTGTCATGCAAAGACCAAGTTTGTCATGCTGAATAGAGAACACGCAGCAAGTCAGGAACTTGTCATGCTGAGCCGTCACTTGTGGCCTCCTCATGATTCGCCCCTCAGCATCTCAAGTTTCCAGACCCAGACATATTTGCAATGCATATCATGCCCATGTCTTTCAAACCGGTCATCATGTCAGTGCTTTCCCCCTCGTCGTCGCCGTCTGCCTTCGCCGCAACGTGAGCCTTCTTGGCATGCGTCAGCATCTTCTGCACGAAAGAGGTGCCCAACATAGCGGACTGCAGCTCGGCAAAGTCATCCGGGGTGACCTGCATGAGGCTCGCTTCTTCTTCTTCACCCGCGGCAGCCTGGGTGGAAAAAAATATAAAGAAGTAGCAGTAGCCTGGTAAGTTGTCACTGGTGGATGTCAACATCAAATTTTAAACCCAAAGCACTGTACTCGCACACCTCTCGCTGCTCGAAGACAGAAGAAGTAGAGTCTACCTACTAGTATCGTCGGTTCACCAATTAGTTATAGTTGCTTCAATGAAATTAGCGCGTCTGTAGTTAACTACAAGGAGCTCCTGTTATTTTCGAAATACGAATGGGCTAAGTAAGTAAGTACCTCGGTCGCTTTCACGTCGGAGCGGGTGGTCTTCTTGCGGAGCAGGCTTTCGGCCGAGACAACGGTCGCGGAGGCGACATTGGCGGCGACAGCGCCGAGCAGCACCAGGGTCTTCTTGGAGGCGAACATTTTGGGTTTTTTGTTTTTCGCTTCTTCTCGAAGAAAGCAAAAAAAATTTTTTTACCAAGCGAGAAAAGGTTTATTCTACTCGTGGAGGTAGTTGCTGTACAACTTTTTTGGTTTTCTAGGTGTTGGCTTGGTGCCGGTTTGTTTGAAACTTGGTTTCTTGTTTCAGTCGAGTTGCTGTTATTTTCCTGTGATGAGAATGTTGGTTGTGTGGAAATAACAAATACAACTTGGATGCGAATATCAAGGTAGATGAAGTAGTGATTGATTTTATTTTGTTTCGAAAGTTCTTAACCACAGTACGACGTACTTCCGCAGGTGTACGAGGATTGCAGATGATTTTTTCGCATTTATCATCGGCGTAGTACGATGCAACGAAGTGGAAGAAGTTCCTGTTGGAGTTGGACACTTGTAGTACCCCTGCCACGAAATGTTGACAATGTACGCACTGATACGATCATTATCCCTGGACGATGAGGACGAAGACGATATCTAACTATTTCATAATTTGAACCACGAGGAGGACTACACGAGGAAGGTCATGTACACAACGAGTCGAATGGCACTACACCAGCGCGGCATACGTATACTATACGTATGCCGCGCTGGTGTAGTGAAATACTATAATAGTATACAGGATTTTCAAATTCTCATACGATGTTGACGAGGACTCTCATCTGGCCGGGATTCTACTTTTCAGTAAAATACGTGGTGTAGGTGTACAACTACTACGTGTGTAATTGACGAAGCTGCCTCGACGGCTTTATAAAAATGGTGAACACGATCATCCACATTGTGCTCGTGCAGTAGAACACCTTCAAAACGAGTCTCGACTGACTCGACAGACAGAGAAGTCTGTGTATTGCACACGATATTTATCAAGCTTCGACGCAGTAAATCAATTGATCAAACTGAAAAGCAGAAGATCTTCATGTGTGCTCGTGTAAAAATATGCTGCATCGTACCCGTAGCCCCTTGAAGAAGATTCAGATTGTTTTGTTCCATTTTTTGCAAGCCTTGCTCCTTCGACATCGTGACATCAAAAACTCCCTTTGATGTCACCGAATCCTTTCCATCTGTCCCTGGACCCGGCTCATAAACAACACCTATTAAGGGGAAAAGTAAGGGCAGCAGCTCTCATTAGTGCCTGTGTTGATGATGACGCTAAGCCTAGTACAACTCATGCAGATTTGCTATGGTCCTCATTTTCGCACCGCAAACGCATTCGCAGAACAAGTAGTTACAGCACTTGGAATTGCCGAACTCGTCTGGTGCATAATCAAACTTCTTACACGGTGTGGGCTGATTTTCGTACTTGGTAGTACTTACATTTCAGCAGCACTTGGTAAAGACAAAGAGGCCACTCACTTCCCTATCAACTGTAAAAATGTCTGGGTCTGGAAGATTGCCAGGTTTGTCATGCACATTTTGCATGACTCCTGATGTCTGTGATGCATGCCCTAGCATCACAGATTTTATGAGGGCTTCCTGATGCCTATACCGCATGACAAACGCTCTTTCCGTGTAGCAAAACTTGGAATCTCTTTGCTGCTCATGCAATACAGATTTTTTTAGCATCCAAAATCAGCATGACAAGTTGCATTCTTCCAGACCCAGACATTTTTACTTTTGATATTCCCTTTCATAAGACCACGTCGGTACCTAGCCCATACACGGTATGGATTGCAAAAATGTCTGGGTCTGGAGAGGTTAAACCTGTATTGCGTATTTCGCATTCCTGAAAAATCTGTACTGCATAAGCAGCAAATAAAGCGCCACACTTTCGTCATCCAAATAAAACGCAGTTTGTATATGTGTTCTGCGCATGAGAAAGAGTTTGAAACATTTGTCATGCTGCACTGCACTTACATGCACAGTCAATCATGACCATTCAGCATGACAAGTTTCCAGAGGACTCACACATATTTGCAACGCATACACGGTGTGCAGCTGCAACGAGCCGCCGAGGTAGCGTGCGTACAGATTTGCCAGGGGCAGCCCGCAACCACCCCCAGCGAAGGTCACTGTTTTGTAGTGTTGGCGGTATGAATTGCAAAATAGACATCTTCGTAAGTACACAAATCTTCGCATGCCAAATTTCCATTTCCTGCGCACGGGTAGAAATGGAATCTGTAAAAATGCGGAGTTACATCAGGGAAGGGAAGAGATTTCATTTGTAATTATGCATGAATGCTGTCATTAGTACGACTGCGATTATACAACTTTTGCAATGCATAGCCGGGAGAGAATATCCCACGAAAAAACTGTTTCACTGTAATGATTTTGCAAGTTTTGCATTACAAATTTGTTTACACATGACAAAGAAAACTTGCCATGCGAGGTTGCTAAGCACGGAAAACAGCACAGCTACAAATCATTTCTTGCCTTGCTTGTGCTGTAGCAACACAAACACTTCTGCAATGCATTTTCTGCATTACAAGTTTACAGTGAAACAGTTTTCTCTTGCGATAAAGAAAGTTGGTTTCCTCGAAGTTCGCCTGTTCCGCGAAAGAAGAGCTGCATCCTAAGCAAAAATGTCCCCACACCAGAGAAGTCAAGATGGGACCTCTGCTAGACAAATCAGCCAGCTTTGGCTGCTTCGCATGACAAGTTTCGATCCTGGTAGTGTACTCCTCGATTTATTAGGTAGCTCAGCAGCATCACAGATCTAGCATATCAACATGCTGATTACAGCATCACAAATTCCAACACACGATATAGAAAATGTTTCTCATGGGTTTTTCCGCATAAGAAACTTTTTATTTTTGGATTTGGCATGCAGATTTGCATGACAACTCTGGGGTCGTGGGAAAGTCTACGGTTTTCCTCAGAATAAACTGCTGGCCGTGGTTGGGTTGGTCGTGTTGGGTGCCAGTTGTTGCGCTAACAACTGCTGTATGCAATGCAAAAGCATCGCAGTGGTCGCACTAGTATCTTCTATAAATTGCATTACAAATCTACTTCTTGACAGAATGATCTTCGACTCTGGTCTTTTCTCACGCCAAGCACCTTCTAGAGCACACGACACAATTTTTTTCTTCAATCTTCTACTACAAGATCTGGCTCATTTCGTCGGGGTGATCGTCGTTACAATTTTGACAGATTTTTCTTGTGGGGCTAGTGTTCTGTCCAAGCTTGTTGCACTTACAACTGTAGTCCTGCTATAATTGGGAGCTGTTGCTATCATCTCTGGATCGGTGCACATGCACTACTTCCTTGTTAGATCGCAGATCGCCATTATTTGCATCCATTCCATCACAGGACCACGCACGACCAAGCAGTACAGGAAGAAAAGAACATCTTACCGTGAAAGCGAGCGGTCGTGCGAGAGAACTAAAAAACGTGGGCGGCTGCGGCCAAGGGCAAGGCCATTGTGCAAGCATATTAGCCCCGTTCCTGCCCTGTTCCGTCGATTTTCATCTTCTAGTAGGCTATACTAGCGATAAAACGTTTTTGCATCTTTCGGGCTGTGGCTCGACGTGGTAGTTCTCATTCGCGCAACATCTGTACTACATACAACACCAGCAGAAAAACACCATGCCTGGAAAATTTGCTTCTGATCGCCGTTATCCGTACCAACATCATCGTCATCGATCAGAGGATCGGGTGTATATTGGAGCAGAATGATGTTGTTGTTGATAGGCGTTTAGTACAACGCAGCAGGCGCTTCAGAAGTTGTACTCTATTTGGGAAAAGTAATATTCTATCGTTGTACGGTGCGCGGTTATATTCTTTGTCCAGATGAAAATTCTTAACCCGTTGTAAAGTAAAGTAAAAACGCTCTCTTCCTCTTCCGTGGGTACTAGGGCTACTAATATGTCCTCGTGAAGAGCAGTGGCTGATGAAGAAGCCGTATCAACTGTAAAAATATCTGGGTCAGGAAAATTCTGACACTTGTCATGCACGTTTTGCATGAGCCATGATGTCTGTGATGCATGCCCTAGCATCACAGATTTTTTGAGGGCTTCGCGATGCCTATTCCGCATTAGAAGTACCTTCTCAGCGTAGCAAAAATTGCATTCCCTTTGCTATTCATGCAATACAGATTTTTTTGGAGTCCAAACGCAGCATCACAAGTTGCATTCTTCCAGACCCAGACACTTTTACATTTGATAAGCCGAAAGAAAGCTGCTGGCAACATGATTTATGCTTGCAGTGTTCTTGTACGTAGTACTATTATAGGCAGCAGGGCAAATTAGTACTGAATGAGGATTTTTACCACGTTTAAAATTTTTCTCGGGGTGGAAAACGACGTTAAAGGGCATGAAATTGGTTCCATCGGGTTCGTCAGTGGGGAGANGGGTACGGGTTTTGTTTTTCTGCCCACCAAGGCCCGCGCGCGTTGCCTCGCGAATTAGCCGTTGTTTGTCTGCACACCAAGGCCCGCGCGCATGGCCTCGCGAATTAGCCGATGGCCCCCCGCCCCCCCCCCCTCCACACGCCCGCGCCTGCGTCGCCCCCTGCCTTCCGCGGGAGCTTCTGCTCGCGGCGTCGCGCGACGAGCACTACCTCGAACGCACGGCAACAGCATGGAACTTGTTTCACGTGTCTCACCGTCTCACCCCAAAAAAAAACCAATCTTGGCACCGCCGCGCCCCGAGCGCTTTTTTCCATTTCTACTGTTGTGTTCCGCCCGTCTGCTGCTTTGTTCCCGACTACAATTTGGCGCACCGAGGCCGTCCGCCTCGGTGCACCGAGGCGGCCATTCCGAAAAACTGGCATTTTTGGCTTCGGTGCGCCATTTTGTATGCGCGTCCTGAAGAAACTTCTTCTAGCCTCGGTGCGCCAACTTGTAGTGGCGCACCGAGGCCACGACACTACCGAGGCGACGTCATGCATGACTGCAATACGAGTACGATACTTTTGCACAGGATACCTTGTTCATCATGTCGACGATGACTTTCATGAACTCAAAGCCCGGAACCAGGTGCGAGTTCATTTCCAGCTTGCCGTCATCATCGGAATCCATCCGCTTCAGCTGGGTGTGCAGGAACTCCTGCAGCTGGGGCTGGTATCACAAGAAAAAGTGTTAACGTTAACGGAATTTGTGATGCAGTAACGCATCAGAAAAGGTGCCCAAATTTGTATTTCGTAGCATGCATGGAAGGCAATGGCAAAATTTGTAATGCATAGCTGCCATCTGTGAAAACCGTTAACGTTAACAATTTTTGCTTTGATAGCTGGAACGTCTCGAACATGATCTTCGCCATGGCCATGTATCCATTGCAAATATGTCTGAGTCTGGAACAAGAGCGCAAGTTTGTCAACATGCTCGGCCAGCATGACTCTCAAGTCTGTCATGCACAGTATCCCAAAGGAGCCCCAACTTTCTGTCATGCAAAGACCAAGTTTGTCATGCTGAATAGAGAACACGTAGCAAGTCAGGAACTTGTCATGCTGAGCCGTCACTTGTGGCCTCCTCATGATTCGCCCCTCAGCATCACAAGTTTCCAGACCCAGACATATTTGCAATGCATATCATGCCCATGTCTTTCAAACCGGTCATCATGTCCGTGCTTTCCCCCGCCTCGTCATCGCCGTCTGCCTTCGCCGCAACGTGGGCCTTCTTGGTATCAAATGCAAAAATGTCTGGGTCTGGAAGATTGCCAGGTTTGTCATGCATATTCTGCATGACCCATGATGCCTGTAGTGCATGACTTAGCATCACAGATTTTTGGAAGGCTTGGGCTTCCTGATGCCTATTCTGCATGACAAATGCCCTCTCCACGTAGCACAATCTGAGCTCCTCTTGCTGGTCATGCAACACAGATTTCTTTGGAATCCAAAGACAGCATGACAAGTTTGGATCCTTCCAGACCCAGACATATTTGCAATGCATACTTGGCATGCGTCAGCATCTTCTGCACGAAAGAGGTTCCCAGCATGGCGGACTGCAGCTCGGCAAAGTCATCCGGGGTGACCTGCATGAGGCTTGCTTCTTCATCCGCGGCAGCCTGGGTGGAAAAAAATATAAACGAGAAGTAGTAGCCTGGTAAGTTGTCACTGGCGAATTATGTCAACATCAAATTTTTAAGGAACCCAAAGCACTCACACTCTACTCGCACGTGTGGTCTCACTGCTAGGAGACAGAAGCAGAGTCTAGCTACTGGTATCGTCGGTTCACCAATTTTCAGTACTACTTCGCTGAAGTTAGCGCATGATCTTCTGTACAAGAAGCTCCTTTTTTCCAAATACTTACAAATGGTTTAAGTAAGTAAGTACCACGTCGGAGCGGGTGGTCTTCTTGCGGAGCAGGCTTTCGGCCGAGACAACGGTCGCGGAGGCGACGTTGGCGGCGGCAGCGCCGAGCAGGACCAGGGTCTTCTTGGAGGCGAACATTTTTGGTTTGTGTAGTTTTTCGCTCCTTTATCGAAGAAAACAAAAAAAAGTTTTTTTTAGGGACAAAAGGTTTCTCGTAGAAGAGGTTCTTGTACTAGTGGTTGGCTTGCTGCCGGTTTTTTTGAGACTTGGTTTATTTCAGTCGAGGAGTGATGTTTGTTTCCTGTGATCTTCAAAATGGTTTATGGTTGTCTTGTGTGGAAGTAAGGAAGAATCACCTTTTAGATAGCGACTATTAGTGTATTTTCGAATACTTATCACTAACAGGACGTAGTGCCGCAGAAGTTGTTAACGAGAGTTGAAGACGAACTGTAAGAATCATCTGCGGGGGCAGCCTTGGTGTACGACTACGACCACGACATCCACATCAGTGAAGACATATTGATATTTACATACCAAATTCATGACGAAATTCATGCTTCCCCCGCCGCGAAACAACATCTTACGTGCGATATACTGAACGACGTACTTCATGCTTCATTGCAACCGTGGACGAGGACGACGAAGACGATATCTATTTCAACATTTGCACACGACACAAATTTTTTCTTCTACTACAAGATCTGCCGAGATCTGGTCCATTTCGTCGGGGTGATCGTCGTCACAATTTTGCTGGATTTTTCGTGTGGGGCTAGTGTTCTATCCAAGCTTGTACTTACAACTGTAGTCCTCCTATTGGGAGCTGCTGCTATCATCTCTGGATCTTCGGTGCACATGCACCACTACTTCCTTACTACAAGAACGCAGACCGACATTATTTGCATCCATTCCGTCACAGGACCATGCACCACGATCCAGTAGTATAGGAAGAAAAGAACATCATCGCACCTCCGTGAAAGCGAGCGGTCGTGCGAAAGAACTTAAAAACGTGGGCGGCTGCCATCATGCAAGCATATGAGCGCCCTAGTTCCTCCCCTGTTCCGTCGATTTTCATCTCCCAGTAGGCTATACTAGCGATAAAAGGTTTTGTCGGATTGTATCTTGACGTGGTAGGTTTCATTCGCACAACTTCTGTAGTACTTACACTAGAAAATAAGTTTGCTCGCCGACGCCGTTATAAGTGGCTACCAACATCGCGAGAGGATCGGGTGTGGATTGAAGCAGAATGATGTTGATTATCAAAGTAGCGGGCTACGCAGCAGGCGCTTCAGAAGTACTCTACTACTCGGGAAAAGAAATATTCTATCGTTGTACAACGGCCGCGCACGGTTTATTTCTTTGCCCAGATCATAAATCTTATCCCGTAGAGTAATGCTTTCTTACCCTTCCGTGGCTAGGGCTACTACGTCCTCGAGAAGAGTGGCTGAATAAGCTCAAGCTGAAAGAAAGGTGGCAACATGATTTGCAGTGTAGATGTAGTACTATAGGCAGCAGGGTACTTAGTACTGAATGAGTGTTTTTACCACGTTTAATACTCTCTGAGTGGGAAACAGTTAATAAAGGGGATGAAATTCGTTCCATCAGGTTCGTCAGTGGGGAGAAGTCTTGTAAGTGCTAACTTTTCAAATTCACATTGGGGAGAAACAATCAAAGTCTTGGACGAGTTGAGTCGTCAAAAATTGATCTTGTTTTTGCAGCTGTGTAAAATAAATTTAAATGCTTGTCGTGTGAAATTATTACGCAATGAAAAAGAAAATTGTATGTGAATACGAAAAGGAGTAGTAATAGTAAAGCCTTAGCCTTACAACAAGAACCTTCTAATAAAAGATAAATTTACGAGCGATTCTTAGTGGACGAGGGGCAACATCAAGGTCGAAGTCAGGCGTGTCGGGTTGCGGCCATAGAGATAGACGCGGTGGCGCTCAGTGTCGTGGAAACACTTTCACTTCTACTGTTGACGACTACTACCTGATATCATCCGCCCCGTCTTGTGATGTAGCTGAGGTTAAGAACCTCAACTCTTGCAGATGAATCTTTGCTCGCGACAAAACGACCATGAAACTCGTTGACTAGCGTCTTGGAGTTTGTTGTGCGTTTTGTTATTTCGAGAGAAAATTTATTGTTAAGTATCAAATGTTAGAACAAACAATCATGAAAACAAGAACGGCACAAAATTTACTGGTGTACACAAATAAACGCATATTTTCAATCGAAATTTGCAGTTGTAAGAAGTAGAATGGAAAAACAAAAAGTAATACAGTCTGGACGATATTACGTTATAAAAGTGTTGAAAAGATAATTTTTTTATATGTTCTCCTGGATTTTAAAGATTTTTTGACAGTTCTGAACCCCTTTCGTTCCACCGTTCGGTTGTGTTAAACGGCGTCACGACTCAGACGACTTGTTGTAGTACAACTAGTCGCTGATAAACCGACGTGGTTTCGGTTTAGGAGGACTCGGCCTCCCACGACTGCAGCTCCTTGTATGAACTGCAAAAGTATCGTACTCGTATAAATGCATATCCATTTCCATATACAAATATCCTCGGCATGAGAAATTTAATTTGCAATGCTGATTTACCTTAGGGAAAAGATTTGTAATGCATGACGTGGCCTAGGTACGCACATACGACTCGGTACGCCAAATCATATGTTGGAAGGGAAGTGGGTCTATTGCTACCTGTAGGGGAAAAAGGTGAAATAATGTGGCGCGATTTTCCCGCCCAACATTTATGACGATGAGACACCTGCGCGGCAAGAACTGTGGCGCCTCAAAGTCGGCGCCGGCAAGGATCGGGCCAGACGCTCAGAATAAGTAGAAGGGCCGCCCACAGGAGTGTCAAAAAATCAGCGGCAGGAGGAGACTGCACGTCCCCGCATGTGAAAGAGTGCGCCTCAGAGAGAGCGCCCATTTCCGTATATGGATGGCCGTGGAAAAATCGACGACAGAAAAAAGGCGCACGACTTAAATCTGAGAAGGCGGGAGCTGGCAAGAAGGCAAAGCTGTTCACTCACTGAACATGCCCTCCAGAAAGCGCGCTCATTTTTTCACATGTGGGGAAATTATAGTCGCCAGAAAGAGAGCGCGCCCATTCGCATCCGACAAAATAGTGCCAGTAGCGACAGGCCTCACGTCTCGTTTTTCGTGTGAAGGAATGACCTCCGGGAACAAGCCCCACTTTTTCGCATGTGAAAAAATGGACGCCAGGAACAAGTTGCATTTTTTCACATGTGAAAGAATGGCCGCCAGAAACAAAATCCATTTTTTCACACGTGAAAGAATGGCCGCAAGAAACAAAGTCCATTTTTTCACATGTGAAAGAATGGCGGCCAGAAACAAAATCCATTCTTTCACATGTGAAAGAATGGCCGCCAGGAACAAATTTCATTCTTTCACATGTGAAACAATGGCGGCCAGAAACAAAATCCATTCTTTCACGTGTGAAAGAATGGCCGCCAGAAACAAATTTTATTCTTTCACATGTGAAAGAATGGCGGCCAGAAACAAAATCCATTCTTTCACATGTGAAAGAATGGCC